AAGAATTTCGAAGATTGGTCGACTCGCCTTGTCCCCCAATATCCTCGACCTAGAAACGACTTGCTCGGGTTTTCCTCCCAATCGAATAAAGTTGAAAAGATGCGCAGTATTGGCCGGCATCAGGCAAATATTGCGAAAGTTACAACCGGATGCCTATGTTGAGCTTTGAGAAAGGGAAGACCTCGTGGCGACTGGCCTGAACCAAAGTCGAGAGGTGTTCAGCGACGAGTCACTTCTGTCTTCTCGGAAATAAAGTTGTGAACCTGCTGAAGTGTTTCATCAACAAGGAAAACCATTTCTAGGGACTACATTCAAATAGCCAGAAAGAGTGCTAGTATCGTCACTGCTGAGGATTGGTCAGACCATTCGGGCAGAAGAGTTCAGTGCTTCCCTTCGAAGCCAGAACTAGCCGAAAAATATGGGTTTTCTGTCACGGCAATGATCCGGTCCAGGTCTACCTTCTCATTGCCGCCTTCCTAAACCTACATTCGTAGTGGCGTTTGAATGCGATGTGGCCTATACAATGACTTGCGGGGGCCAGCCGATGTACAAGTCAGTGTTTTTATCCTCCCAGACAAGTCTGGTACCAATTAACCGACCCCGGAGGGATGGAAGGCTTGGTTGGCCCGGGCGACTCACGACCCAGGATTTGATCCCCGGACCGCTCGCGTGGTAAGCGTGCCACTTGCACTACACCACTTCCGCCCTGAATTGTGATATCAGAAACTATTTTTTTCATGAAGATTCGAGCTATTTGTTTAATCGTGTATATTCGAGATTCAATTTTGACGAAGCGTTTCTAGACAAACCTGTTCGGATGCGATTCCTGATTTTGAGAATTGTTTTTCGTTGCTACGTTTTATATTGTGAACGATATACGTATTTAGGAAACTTTCGGAGACTCTAGGCAGCGCTATTAACGAATTCCTGGAGTTTTGACCGCGACAATTCTTTTAAGGTTGATTTAAAATGAAACAAACGTTGTTAAGATAGGAGCAGAAACTGTGATACTCCGCTGATAGAGTGTAGTCTTGCATAAATTCCCATAAAGTGACATTTTACCAGGGATTTTCTAGCTTCGGGAAATAGGGTTTTCTGAGAAGGTAGAGTGCACGCTCTTTATTGGATCATTTAATCGACATGTTTGAAGAACCAGCAAGGGAAACAAAATTATGATGATGATTTTAAGGAAGCTCAGTACACTTTGCATAACTGAGATATTCTGTGATAATGATATTTCAGTCTGCAGGGAGAAGATCAATACAAAGCGGTGATCAAGATTTTTCGTTGCCTGGTGTCCTGCATCGAAGGCTAAACGACGGCGCTTGTGAAAGTGTGTCGAGTTTAGTGGGACCTACAATAGCAGTCAATCGCGTGAGCATTCACGGGGAAGGTCCTTGGCCTTTTCAGGGTAGTGTTGTAACGCTCGAAGAGTTTCTTTCACAACTGCCTTTCACAGTCCTTGAGAATCACCTAAAACGATTGACATATGTCTCCGTGCAGGAATTCGTTTTCACTTTTGAACGTAATTTCCTCAAAACTCAAGCTTTCGCAGTAAAACTTTAACAGCAGGTGACACACACAGGTAGTCATATTATAGCAGCGTATCGGTGCGATAGCCTCCTTTCAACGGGGAAATGGAGCTTCATTTTCGAGTATTGTCCGCGGGCACCCAATTTCATTGTTGATAAACGATGAGTTTCCATGTTGAGAGCACGTGTGTTTTTGATGTTTTGTGTCAGTTTCATAGGCCTACACATCACTTAGAATATCCCAAGACCTCCGGGAATTCTTAGCTTGTGGAGGACCAGGTGACGCCATCTTCTGGAGCTTCTACAAAGGCTTAACCTCTAGCGATTTTCGAAGTTGAAGAACGCCGGGGCATCTTGGAGATCAAGATATCGAAACCTGACAAGTCAAAATGTGGACCAGACGCAAGAACGGATATCTCTCTTCACACAGAAACATTGAGAGACGAATTCCACGCTGGCAACCCACATTATAAAAGGTTAGCGATGGTGAGTGGTACACTAAAGAAGGAAAAACCATGAGAAACGGCCCAGAACCCGAGAAATGGGACCCTTCCTTGCCCGTTGATTTGAGCATTGATGAGGCTATCATCGCTGTGCCCTCTTCAACACTACGCTCTCTCACTATCTAATCACTCGCCACGTATAAACCTACGGCGAGTGATCAGATGATCGGTGGGCGTGCACTGACCAGCCGCGGCGGGATTAAACCTTAATAGGTCAACGAGGTCAACTCCTCCTGTGCAAATTGTGCTTCAGTTCGCACACTTAGGAGCTCCGCGGGTCCCTCAACCAGGTGAATTCTTCCTAATTCGATTTTCCCTCTGATCGTGAATTCGTCCTTTAACTCGTGCAACGATGAATGAAGTCACATGGCGCTGTCACCGACATTCACAGTGGAATTCTCGACCCAGACGTCATAAATCCGTCCGAGACCAATTGTGGACGTTTGATGGAGAGTGGGATTTACGACGTGCTCAGTGAGAACCCGGTCCCTCAAGAGGGGCAAAGCGCATCCCAATTGGGCTCATGCCCACAAGAAATGGGCTATTAAGCAGTGACAAAAAGCCATCTGGAGCAACGAATCGAAGTTTTTGCTGTTTAGGACGAATGAAATCAAGTTTGTGCGACTTCCTGTTGGTACCAGATATCATACAAGGTTTCCATGTGCTGACGTGAAGAATGCAGGAGGTGCGGTGATACTGCAGCCCTCTGTGGCAAGGGTTAATTCACCTTCATCTGACTCCGAAGGTAAGACTGGATTCAAAGCACATCAGCATAGGCATGAATGATATTTGCGCGCCTGTTCGCCTGTGTCGCCCGCAAGGGTTCAGTTGTGGCCGGAGCAGCCAAAAGTCAAAGCGCTCTCGAAATGCTCGACACATGTTGCTTAATGCGTTGCCATCGCAGGTCCATACTTGGAATTCGAGCAAAGAATATGAAATAATTTTTTCGGAGTCAAGCTGAAGGCCTTAAAGCTCACAACGAGCTTCGAAAAGTCCGTCCCACTGAAGATCGCGTAGGGAAACCTCCACCAAGAAAAAATCCGAGTCCATGCTACGCCGGTGTCAAGCCGTCATAGATGAAAACGGTTCTGCGACAAAGTGCTGATGTTGTAGTTGTTCAGTCTGTTATTATAAAGTTATTTTGTTATTATTTTTGAATTTTAGATAGATTGAAGTTTCGAACAAGTAATATGGTATTGGACCGAAAAAAATTAAAAATTTCTAAATTGGTATACAAGTCACCTAGACAACTGAAAATTTGCTCCCTTATCACATATAGTGATAGAGTGATGTGTTCTCACCTACAAAAAATCGGAACAAAAGCTTGAGTTTTGAGGGAGTTACGTTTAAAAAAGTGAAAACGAATACTTCACTGCACGGTACTGTACCTGCTCATGGTTGGTCATGCGCAATATTTGTGCGCCAAGCGAGCGTGTATTCGTGCTCACTAGGTCCGTCTACACCTGCTGGTCATAGCCAAATCTGAGATTTTGAGCTAGCCTTGAAAATGTGGGCATTCATTCAAGCTATTTTTCCTATTCGGTAATCCTAGCAAATCGATCATGACCATGCGAGGTCAACACAAACGGCTGGAAATGGAAGGATGCCGAAAATGAAGTTTGCGGTTCAGGGTAAAATAAATGCGTAGTTGCGGTAAGCATCCAAAATAAGGCCGGGAAAAATGATGGACAAACCAAGAATTGTTTTCATTTGAACCTGGCCCATACTGCGTCGAGTGAATTGCTTCTCATCCAAGGCTCCCTTTTCATGGAACTGTTGACAACGTGATGCGAAGAAAATTCAAATAATCTAACTTCAGAACCAATTTTGATGAATACCGATTGATAAACTACAGTGTAAGCTGGAGTAGCTCTTGGCGACCATTTTCTTCCTGATCTCCGTTTACGTCCATTCGGCTGTACACGTTCGCTACGGGCGCCGTGGGCTGTCATGCGGAACTGTGACTAAACCTCTAATCAACTGCTCGCATACTTTTTGTGCAGACAATTTTAAGCAATACACGATGTTATGAATCAGCTATATTCCAGAAAGCTAAACAGGTAGGTCTGAAAACAGCGCTCTAAGGCACATTTATGACTACACGTTTTTGCTTGGAACGTCATGGCGAATAGTTACCCGCTGGCCTTGTCCCATACCGTAGTGCCTCTGCTGTGAGGAACCATGTGATACATATTGGCATATGCGCCCCACCATCATTATCTGCTACACTTATTTGAGAGAACAGTTACGGTAAGCTCTCCTAGGTGATTATTTCGCAGAGGTCGGATAAATTGCTCCTGAAATGTACGCGAAAAGAGAAGTAGTACGATGGTAAATCAGCACGGTATGTCACAGACAGTTGACAGTTTGTATTGGGCAGTATTGGACGCACCCAGACCATCGATTTCCCCTTAAGAGGGGTTCTTGTTCAAAAACAGGGAATCTTTGGTTGGTTCTTTTTCAAAAACAGGGAATCTTTGGTTTTCCTTTCACGGCGTCATCGTCACATGTAGGTCAAAAAAATAAACAAATATTAATAATAGGGAAGTCTGGCTAACGGAACATCGAATAGAAGTTGTTTTACGACGCGTTGTGGAAACAAATTTTCCATATTAGGTGTGCATATCTTCAAGCTCCTAGACAACACACGACACAATCGAACACTTCTAAGTTTCTCAGAACTTCAACAAAGCTTCCCCCGCCCACCGCCAACGCCTACTCAAATGTAGGAATAATGAGCCGGAAAAGGAAAGCACTGACGATGAAGTATGGCTGCTATCCTACACCCTAAACTAAATGAGAAGGTCAGCTGTAGAACATTCGCTGCTCGTCATTCCATGATGGGCTTAATTGAATTTTGAACAAGGAAAGCAACCAGTGCTGACTAACACATGTTATCCTGCAAACTAATCGCTACAAGTTGATTTTCGGCCCTCTGATTTAAACGGTGTAAAAATTCACCTGCTTTCGGCGGGCCAAGGATTTCAGAGTACAGTGTTCCTGAAGGAGATGCGATGAAAGGAAATGCTGCTCCGAAAAAGAAAACGAAACAAATGAAGTATATCGGAAATGGTACGCGGACTGTAGATGCACACCATTCATACGACGGGTAATACACCCGCCAATTTGCGATGAGTTTTTATCTGAATGAAAATTAAAATCGTAATAAAGGGTCGGCGCGAGATCACATGAGTTGTAAAATACGATCAACTATACATATAAGTAACATATGTCGTGGCAATGCCTCACTGCTAGGTTGTAAAGAAAGTTCTGCAACACTTTCTAAAATTTTTTTTCTGAAAATTTCGTGTGTAATATTCATAGGTGAATGGCAAACGTAAGACGAGCAGTCTCGGAGGCTCTCGCTCGGGTGGTGTACGGTGCTGCAGTCAGGTCGTATCGTCAAGAAATCCAAAAATTCCAGCACCACTGGTAAATCCGTACTCCGAGTCACTGTCTAGTACAAATGTCTCCATAACTATGGATTCGTGTCAACGACTGACACTATCTGCAATAGCTTCAATAGGCATGTCGTTCACCGCTACAGCGTGTTTCACCTTTACCAGCGCTTTCGATCTTTTGATATTTTTATAAGAAGCCAGCAGCGTCCCGCACACTCCATTACAGGTAGGGCTCTTACGAAGCTCCACTACAAATTCTTCGTTATGGGCACCATTGTGTAGGTAGAGGTCTAGGCTGCGGAACTCCAGAAGCTGGCCGAGGCAGCTCGTCAGGAGCCCTCGTACCGCGACAATATTTATTTCATGACATTGCGAATCACCATGATCCGAAATGAGCCCGGTAAGAAATTCTGGAGCTGCGGCAAGATTTCTTACCTCTTAGCGTATTCCCCTGGTCGAGCTATAAATGACTGCCACCTATCCTGGACCTTAAATCATCATCTTGATGACGAAATAATTAGACGATCAACTCCAACTCGAAAGTGAGGTCGCCTCCTTTCTCGACCCGCACTCCGCTGGGTTTTGGCAAGGAGCATCAAGAAATTTTCTGAGCGTTGAAGACAAGTGGTGGACACTCATGGTAGATATAAGACCGGTCAGGAGTTGTAACAAAAAAGATAAAATTAAAATCAAAAATTTGAAAAAGTGTTGCAGGACTTTCTTTCCAACCTAATATTACATGTCTATCTATAATGGCTTTGATTTGCTATTCGTCCAGGACGAGGGCAGCACCACCGCATTGATTTTATTGATAAATGACGAGAAGTCACAACATTTTATAAGTAGTGATTTACCTGTGGGGATGTAATCAAGCGGACCTGGGTAGAATGACCAGGGATAGTTGAAGATATGGAATAGCAGGAAAGCCATGAGGCCAAAAATGATCTGCTTTCGCTTCTCTCTAAAAAATGTTATGGATAGAAGCTTTATCAGCGTTGCCACTTCTGAGAAAAAACCAGCAATCTACAGAAATTAGAAACGCTAGAAACTTGATATAGAAAAAGCTCTACTTTCAATTTGAAAAAAAAAGAAAAAATTTTCGCACTGTCCTCTTTAGGACAATTTCTTTGCTTTGCCCTTGAACTGGATCTTAGGGGAGGTTAAAAAAGAACCACGAACCTAGAGAACGGATGAAGAGATGGTCCAAACTTCAATTTCCAGCGAAAAGAAGCTTTTGTATTGCAAAATGGCCCCACCAAATTGATGATAAACGGCAGTGCAAATTTTTAAGCTTGAATACGAATCGCAATCCTCCGCACATTTCAGGAGATTTCTGGTATTATTCTTATCGTCTGCTTTAGGGCTTTCTTACATGTAGAATCAGTTCTCGGTCTTCATTTGTGGTGCATGACATGCCATGCATACAATGGTGGCCAAAAAAAGAATCTTTGCCTATGGCGCACATCAGAACTTCTCACTACATAAAGTGTGGCGCTGTTGCTGAAATTGACTGCAAACTATCTCTCAGATGCCTCTAACAAGTGTACAGGGGTGGCCAAAAAAAAGACACTTAGCCCATAGCGCACATTACCGAAGTTTTCATCGCTCAGGGAGCCGATGGTAATGAACGTTTTACGGCGTAATATTCCTTAGGTGTTCCCCCGTAAACAGAAGCAGGCCCTCCTTCACTGCCCCCGCCGTCTTCAGAATATGACGTCATCTGCCGTCACCGTCGAGCTCAACGAGGCTTACCGTAATCGCTCCGACCTGAAGCTGCTACATAATTTCCTTCAATGGATTAACTGTTGAATAGCTTTCCAGAGACATTAGCTGTGAATATGCAAAACCGCTTTTGACTTGCGTTTCAGAGAACGTCGTAATCGTCTATGGTATCTCAAAGGCCTCGTTGAGCTCGTACCGTGCACAATGCTTCCGTGGGAAAATCTTCTGATGTCGTCGGTGTAGAAGGCTGTTGTGTAGCTTGTTGATAGATTATAACGTGCTCTTCAATATTCAGTTGGGATCATTTGGTTTGGTTTCGCAACGCGTAAATAATTCCGTTTTGAATGTGGAAGAAGTGTCTCTTTTTTGGCCACCCCTGTAGGCAAGCCCTCTTACACAGCCCTCACCGTCCTCAAAATATGATGCCATCTTCCATCACCGTTGTGATCAAAGAGACCTAAATTAATCGTTCTAGCCTGAAGCCGCTACGATTCTCCGGTTTGCGTCCTAGGGACAGAAAGCTCTGCAGCAGAGTCAACCCTGCGTTGCGCAGTTCAACGGCCACGTTGCGCAGTTTCGCCCGATTAGACACGTTCTCTCGCGCGAACATTCACACTCGCATGCTCGAGCCGTCTGTGTCTCCGCCCATACAGCGTGCGTTGAGGATCTCTCGACGTGCCGTTGCGAACTGCGCAACGCAGGGTTGACTCTGCTGACGGAAACTGTGTCGACCAGCGTTTCACGTAACGTCGTAAAGGTCCATGATCTAGGCCGTAACGGCCGGAGCTCCATGGCAAAAAGCTGTTCTCTATTGTCCTTCGGTGCAGGAAGGTACTACTATAACGTTTTTGCAGATTGAAATGTGCTTTTGATTACTAATTGGAAGCAGTCGATTTGAGTTTAGCATAGTGTGATTGATGCTGTTTTGAATGTGAGGGGAAGGTCTCTTTTTTGGCCACCCCTGAATACTTATGCGCTTTCGTGAGTGTGTTCATAAATTATGGAGGGCAAAAATCAGAACGAAACATCGTTGCAAAGGTGAAGAACATTTGGCTTTTCCTATGAAACCAGATCGTGGCATCGAGGCAGAATTTAAACAGCCATCATTTCGATATGACCATATTTGCGTTACATTTTGGTTGCTTGGGAAAAACCAGTGAGTGAAGGAAAAGCACTTTTCGCAAATAGAGCATAGATTTAGGAGACACTTCGGAAAATTTCTGCGTCTCGGGTTGGAAGGTAAACATTCTACAGTTCCACTGTTTGAGCGCCTATATGTAGGAGTTTCTTTGAAAATTCAACACTGAGTGTGAAATATACTAACATCTTTCCCAATCTCGTATAACCAATAAAAAAGTTCAGGCAGACAGACATCAGGCAGGAAGCTGTTTGAAGGATCCCATTGAACAAAACAGCGTCTGAATCTTTCCAGTTGTACATAGCAGTCGACCAAGGTGTTGAGATCCTGTAAGTGACCGCATAATTGTGACCTCTGCCAGGAGCTCCAAATAATACCAGACGGAATTGTTCATGCTCCTATATATTTTCATTCATCCTTCACTCCTTTTCTTTTGTCTTAATTTTCTGTCAAAGGAACACTACAGTCCCACAATTCTCTTAAAGGAATCTTGCGCGGAAAATTCTTGCACTCTTTCCTAACATGAATATGTCAGTTGTGATCACTGGAAATAGCACACAAAGTTTCACGCATGAAGATTCGGTTTCTGAAGAGAAACAAACGTACAAAAACTACACGTTATGGACCATCGAAGGACCAGGAGGCAGAGCCAGGCGAGGCATGGAAAGAAGACGGCGTTTGGCCGGCTACGTACCAGGCGACGCAATGAGAGAATCGGGTTAAAGCGCGCGATTTCGGAGAGTGGAGACAAATCGATCGATGGAATAGGATGGAGTAGAAGTGTAAGATGTGAATGCAACGAAGCAGAAGGCCAGAAAGAGCTTCTAGTGAATGCACTCCAAGAACCAAGTTTGAGCATCCCCGTCGCCAAATACGTTCGTGGG